GGTCCATGCTGCCCACGGGGCTTTCGTGGCAGCATCCCTGGGAAGCGTGCCATGTCCCTCCCTTCTCGCCGCAGACCGAGCTGTCGCAGCACGAGTCCTGGTCGCTGTCGCCTTTATGGTAATGCATCCTGTGGTGGAGATGGCCAAGCCCTCGGGGATAAACAGTCTGGGAAGAAGAAAAAACCCACCGACTTCTTTTTTTTTTTTTGCTTTTTCTATGGAAAAAAATGAGGAATTCAAGACAGCTGAGAGAATCCAACTCACCCTGCGACCGGTGATGGATGGGCTGAGCCGGGAGTCCGAGTCCTGAGGACAGTGCTGGGGCTGAAAGCTTTTATGTGTGGCAGAGCTTTCTTGGAAATGAGGCATGCCATGGGAATTAATAGCTGAGCAGTGAGTGCCACTTCTGTACATACATTTTTTTCTGGCACTTGCTATTGGATTAATCAACTGCAATTAACATCTCCCTTGATGCAACGTCAGCTTAGCTCTTTGCATATGCAGTGGCCATTATCTACTTAGTTCTCCCATTGGTCGTGTTCAAATATGCTGTTAGTCAGATGGGATCCTGGGATAAGGATACCTGGAATACCGCAGTGCTGAGTGATGTCCCCAAAAGGAGTCTCTTGTGGCAGTGGGAAAACCAGGAGTCCTGGTGTCCGGTCCCATGTCCAGGTGCCCAACGGATTCTGCCTTGGTGTTGGAGCAGAGGTATTGAAGTGGAAATGGTTTTTGATGGAAGAGGTGATCTCTGAGCACAGGATTCCTACGGACACCAGCGTGTCAGGACGAGGGATGCCCCATGTCAGGGTGTGGAGGGGTTGCATATTGCCCCATTTAAATGAATTAATTCCCATCCAAGTGATGAGCAGCTCAGTCAAGTGAGTGGGTACAACACCAAAAGCCCTTTTATGTGCCGCAAACCTGGAACAAGGATGCTGCGAAGGAGTGCTAACTTGATGAACTAAAAATTTCAGGCTTTGTCAAGCACCGTATCCACGTTTCCGATATTTCTACTTTGACTCATTTTCCATGTAACTGCTTCACTTTGCATTTCCGTGGATGGTCGAGGCATTTTTTTTAAGTACCAGCGAAGTATCTCTCGCAGCAGCCCCAGACTGTCAGTGCAAAAGGTATTTCCATGAGCTCACTCTGCAGCAGAGCCTCTGTAAGAGATGCTCAGAGGTTTGTCCAGCGGCGGTTGGGTTTGAATCACCAGGAAAGGCATGTGCAGAATTCAGGGGTGTGACTCCAGGGCGCGTGCTTGGATCTGATGACTTTGCTGCTGCCAAGATAATTTATTCTTTAGCTCCAGGAAAAATGTAATTGCCTTGCAGGAAGCCACGGGACTTGCATGTAAGGATGGAAAAGACCTTGGTATCTGTCAAGGACCAACAAGAAGTTTTGATTTATAACTCATTACTGCAGTCCCAAGATTATCCTGTTCTTACATGTTTTGGATTTTTTCATGTTAGAAGAGATGTTTTTGAGTAATTTCCCTTATGAAGTACAAATATTTCATTTTTGAGTCTCATCTCTTAAACTTTGTCATGTTTTAATAGAATTTCAGATTAAATTAGATAGTACTTCTGCATCCTTCAGGCTAGACTTACATCTCCACATTTTTCAATGACTGTGTCCCTCCCTGTCCCATGAAGACTGTGTTTGCTGGTCTATTTAATCCTATTGATAACATATCAAGACTTTTGAGATTCCTCTGTTTTACAGCTCAGCAAATTCACTGGAAAGATTTCCATTAACAAAGAAGACCTTTGTCTCTGACCTTAGGCCCATACAGATGCTTTAATTGCCAGCTGTGGGTCTTCAAAGCCATGGCATGAAACTACACGGCCAAGAGGACACCCCTGTCACTTAGATAACATACTGACACCAGCAAACACTATTTTTCCCTAAACTAGAGACTGACCCAAGACATTCACGACATATGCTGGGATGCTGTCATCAGCAGCATGATAAATAGTTGAAAAATTCTTCATATTCAGAAACTAAGGCAACGCTAAAAAAGTCCTAGATCAGAGCTATAGTTTAAAAGACGAAGATAAATGAATGAACACGTACAGGAAGTTTGCAGTGTCATAAGTTATAATTTTTATTGCCTTTCATGACTAATTGGAGATTAAAGCAAGAAAAGGGAGTATGATACATCGACAGCATCAAGCATCCCACACACCAAGAGGAGAGTTAACAGCAGGACTGCTGTTCAGAAAGGAAAATCGCACCAATCAACGGGTAGTAACTTCAAAGCACATTACAAGCATTTGGTGACTAAAGACAGGCAGAGGAGAGGACAGATGATCTACAGTCTCTAAGCAAAGGAGGAAGAGTGTTCAGGGCTGTATCCATGTCCGTGTCCGACACCGGGTGAGCCAGGAGGGAAGCAGCAGGCAGCGCAGCAGCAGCGGTGATGGGCGCAGCCCTGCCTGCCCTTTTTTTTTTGCGGGCTTAGTTGCCGCAGCCGCAGCAGCCTCCGCTGTTGTTGTTATTGTTGGAGGAGATGCAGTAGGTCTGCACGGGGCAGCAGTAGCTCGGGCAGCAGTAGCTCGGGCAGCAGTACTGCGAGGGCTGGCAGCATGATGACTTGCACTTCGGGCTGCTGTAGCAGCACACGGTGTAGCAATTGTTGTTGTTGCTACTGCCACCGCAGCATCCACAGCCTCCGTTGGGCATGTTGTTGGTAGTGGTGTAGGCAAAGCTGGAAAGAAGAAAGAGAGAGTATTTTTCTCTGCCTGAATTTCCCAGTTGTTTATGCAGCTTAAAGCACACTTATCCCAAAGCCTGTCCCAAACTGCCTGGGGAAGTCCTTGCTGTCCAAAATCCCCCCAGCAGCCTTTCCCTGAGATTCCCCACTTTTTTGCATTGGACACCCGTGCATTTGGCAGATTGTCCAGCACCAGTTCCATCAGAAAGAAGCCACCCAGGTGGATCCCAAAACCAATCTCAAAATTTGTCCCAAAACAGACAGTATGGGAAATCATGAATGACTTCCTACAAAAGCACACAGAAGTACAGTAGAGTGCAAATGAAGAGCCAAGCTCTGACTTACCCTGTTGACCAGTGAGGACAAGTGAGGAGAAGTCAAGATGAGCGAATGAAGACCACTGCGATGGGGAGCTTTTTATACGCTCCAAAGCCACCCCCCTGGAAATGAGGCATTCGTTGGCAATTCTGACTTCACCGTGTATCACCCAGTTAGAAGCCTCTCACGTGTTTTCCTGTATTTAATCTTTTCCTCTTTCTGCTTGCTCACCACCTCAATTCTGCACCGCAATTAGTTGTATGTATAAACAATAGGTGGAAATTTTCTAATGAATTTGCATTCATTGGAACCGGAGGCAGCTGTAGGGTGTTCCTATCCACTTCCCAAGGAATGACCATGAGACACAGAGACACTCAACAATTTGCCCAGGGGAGGCAGGCGCTGAAGCAGTGGGAGAACCATGCCTGGAACTTGGAAATGTCACCGCTCAAGCGTCCCCTCTGCTTTTGGCTGGGATTTTGGGGGACTGGTGGAAACTATTGGTCAACGTGAATCTTTTTTCCTACGTCTGAGAGGTGGCTGCACGGTCAAAGTTGAGACTGAAGAGTTCCTCCTTTCTCAATCTTGTGCTTGGGTCTCCCTCCATAGTGCTTGGTCCTCACACCCCTTGCTTTTTATTTTTTCTGTACTATTAAGGACTTTTTTTTTTTGTTTTAATCTATGGAAGGGATGTATTAAATCTATATTAAGCAGCTTTCAAAGCAGTAGTGCACACATTTTAACTTTTCTCTGTGTTGTTTCCACACGCTTAATTTTCTGAGATTATTTCTAAGGCCTGTGAGACTGGATAGCTCATATTTAATGGTATTCGTGATGATCACGCTTGAGTGTTACACACCAACAATTCAACTCTATGTCTCTGTGGACAAGAACGAGATTCAAGGCTGGAATCCAGTCCCAAGTGTGTTTCTCTGTGCCTCTCCCCTGTACCTTGGGAGCCCAACTAGTATCTCTCCGGCACCCGACAGGACTTTTCCAGCAATTGCTTCTAGTAGTTTTGGGTGCAATGTGCAAAGGCCAAGGCTGCTGTGCCTGCAAAGCTTGCGGGAACAGTCAGGAGGGAACGGATAATATGGTTGGAGTCAAGAGGCCAAGGCTGCTGTGCCTGCAAAGCTTGAGGGAACAGTCAGGAGGGAATGGATAATATGGTTGGAGTCAATGCGGATGTTATGAAACAGGCTTGGGGATGGAGGAAGGAACCGTGGCCACAGGCAGAGCCAGGACAACTCAACGTGAGATGAAGAACGCGTTGATGGAGTTTTCATCTGATGAGAGGAGACACCAAAATAAGATGAGAGTCCCAGGATGATGAGGCGGCAGCTATTCATGGCAAATAAGGACTGCCGTCATGTTCATCAGACTCTGAACGTCAGGGTGGCGTGATGGCAGGTGACCCCTGGTGATGGGGACACGTAGTTTCTTCCTAAGATGGGAACATGACCTCCTGTGACTTTGGTTGTCTCTTCTGGAATTGTCCCCAGGGGAGCATTGTGTTGGTCACACGATAATAGCCAGATACCTGCCTGCAGGAGGTAATGTCCTCTTTGTGTAAGCCCTCAAGCGTGCCTCCGCTGAATAAATCATTCAATGCCTTTTTATCAGGTTTTATTGTCATCATATTGGCCAAAATGGTCCATGTGTTAGAAATGGATGTGAACCCTGCAAGGCTGTTGCTCATCAGGGTCTTATACAGATATTGAGGAGATACTGGCATTTAATGTGTAGTTGGGTCAGAAATAACATCTACACTAAATCCCTTCTACATGCCACGCCATGCCGCACCATGCCTTGATGTCTTTGTAAACTTCCGTGGTGGTTGCAAGAATTTGGGAGCTGCAGTAACTTTGCGAACTGGGAGGAATCTGTCCTGGCAGCTTTTCCAGCACATGGTGAAATTAATATTCACAAGATTTCCTTAAAACAGAATGTGCTTCTGATACAGTAGGGTATGGTATAGGTTATCCTTCTCCCAGTGTGTTGTCCTGATTTGGCTATTAATAAAAAACTCCTAAAGACCTGGATAATCTTTTCAGGAGAGTCTAACACGGTAGAGAAGTCTATCCTAATGCAGCCTTTGTGGATGCTCTGAAGGCTTGGTTGAGGGAAGCAATCCAGAGAGTGCTCAAGGCATTTTCCTGAGACATGCAATTCAGAGCTGTGTCCTGAATTTTAATCGTAAAGGAAGTCCCAGCCAGGCAGAAAGGGTGTTGCTGATTCATGTGTGTGCTATTTGAGGAATGAAGCTTTTAAGTTGTATGCTAACACCTGGGTTTCATACCAGCACTAGTAACCCAGGAACGCCGCCTATGAAAATCTCTGCTCAGATGGAAGTAGTTCAACAATTTAAGGTGTTTTCTGAAATTTTATTTTTGAAGATGGTTGTGGAAGAAGATGGTGCCTGCTATTCTGTGAGTAGTGAAATCCTCTCAGTGCCTATTGAAATACCTACTCCAGTATCAGGGATGAGTTCCTACACATCTTATGGAGTGTTGTGATTTCAGCTGGTGGAATTACACGTGCTTCATTCGGACTGTGTCCTTTGTGTGTTATTTACCTTAATCATTTAGTTTTATAGTAAAAAATGATCCAACTGAGACAGATGATCAGTAGGTGCAAGAAGGGATCATACCACTCTGGTATTTATGTCAATGGGAATCATGGCTGGGCATTTTTTGTTTCCTAAATGTCCTCCTGTGCCATGGGAGCACATCTGTAGCCCTCTGGCTGAAGGCAGAGAAAATGGCACCAGAATGAGGACACATTCTGAGCAAAATGATGTAAGAACAACCAAAAGACAAGAAATTTTGCGTTTTGCTCAATGCTAAGTTTTATTGTCTACAAGTCAAGAGAGAAAATGAAGAAGTGATCACCTTAACCGCAAAGTATCCCAAGTCCCATTCACCAAGAAGAGAATTAACAGCCACACTAATATCTAACAGCTCTTTGCCTTGTGCAATGGATGACATATTCAAGTGCGTTGCAGATGTTCAATAATTAGAGGACAGAAAGAAGAAGACAGCTGAAATTTGAAAGCAAGAAGAAAATCGCTAGGCGTTTACTCCATCATCATGTGAACCAGAAGTGCAGGTTTTCATCTCCTTGTGCCTGTTGCACGCCGGAGACAGGAGACGGCAGAGCTGATTTTGCTACCCGGAGTTGGCTCAGCAACGCTTCTTGATTGCGTTGCAGCACTGCTGGATGGGGATGGAGTACTTCCTCAGGGGAGAGCAGTATTGCACGTGGCTGCAGCACACCACAGCGGGCTTCTTCACCACGTAGGAGCAGCAAGACTGACATCGGGGGCAAGAGCAGGGTCTCAGGCAGCGCTGGCTACAGCAGGACTGCTGGCACACCTTGGTACAGCAGACAGACCGCTGGCATGGGTCGCAGCAAGACTGCTGGCATGGGTCACAGGACCGCTGGCATGGGTCACAGGACTGCTGGCATGGGTCACAGGACCGCTGGCATGGGTTGCAGCAAGACTGCTGGCATGGGTCACAGGACCGCTGGCATGGGTCACAGGACTGCTGACATGGGTCGCAGGACCGCTGGCACGGGTCACAGGACTGCTGGCATGGGTCACAGGACCGCTGGCATGGATCACAACAGGACTGCTGGCATGGGTCGCAGGACCGCTGGCATGGGTCACAGGACTGCTGGCATGGGTCACAGGACTGCTGGCATGGATCACAGCAAGACTGCTGGCATGGGTCGCAGGACTGCTGACATGGGTCACAGGACTGCTGACATGGGTCACAGCAAGACTGCTGGCATGGGTCACAGGACTGCTGGCATGGGTCACAAGGCTTCTGGCATGGGTCACAACAGGACTGCTGGCATGGGTCACAGGACTGCTGGCATGGGTCACAGCAGGACTGCTGGCATGGGTCGCAGCAGGACTGCTGGCATGGGTCACAGCAGGGCTTCTGGCATGGGTCGCAGCAGGTGGACTGCTGGCACGGGTCGCAGCAGACGGTCTTCTGGCACGAGCTGCGGCAGACGGTCTTCGGGCAGGAGTCGCAGCAGATAGTCTTCTGGCACGGCTGGGTGTAGCACACCGTCTTGCTCTTCACGACAGAGCAACATTCCCTAGAGCACATGTTGTTGTAGTGTAGTCAAAGCTGGAGGGAGCGAAGACCTGAAACACAACGTACTTTCAGATACAACCCATCTTTCCAAGTTTATAGATGTGTTTAATTTTGGCATACAAATGTTTGTCAGCCTTTTCCTATTTATTTGTCTTGAGTTACAAAACAAGATCCTCACGGAAATCCACCCCACTCTCCCAGCAATACTTGTGCATCTTTTGAACTATCCTGGGAACTAGCTTTCCTGTGCTCATCCATGAACATCGCTCCTTGAATTTCCATCCCAAGAAGCTTGTTTTCCACTCCTAAGACCTGTGCTCTCTCTACCAACTGTCTTTTGCGATAAGCAATAGACCAAGAGGCTAGGAACATCTGGATTTCATAGCAAGTTGCAGATCAGATACAAAGACACAACTAGAGTCATGGCTTGACCAAACCCCAATGAGAACCATTGGAATCAAGGAACAATGTTAGTAGGTAACACTTACCGTGCTCACTGAGTAGTGCAGTTGAGTGAGGAGCAAAGGGACGGGGAGACCTTTTATTTAGCTAGAAATTGTCCAGCCGGAAATGAGGTACCCCCCAGCAATTGGTGATTTACACACTAAGCCTATACTTATTCGTTGAATGTGCCTTCATCTATTTAGTCTTTGCCTCATGGTTTTTGACCAACCCCACAATTTTGTGCTATTATCAATTGATTCTGTAAATTTTTTACAGTTTTTTAATGTCAAGTTAATTCTTGCATGATGCTAGTGAACCACTTAAAAGGTATGTTTCTGTCCAGTTTGCATATGCTACCGTTGCTACGCTGAGATGCTAGGTGACTTGTTCAGAGCTAGTGAGTGCTCAATTAACATAAAAGTCGTAATTAAGATTGAGGAGCAGTGGATTCCAGAGGCGTGCAAAGGCCTTTTGGACGTCAGTCGCTCCTCGATATGATTCTAATAAACAAAATCCCAGCAAGCAATTCCATAGCCCTGTGTTTTTTTTTCTAAATGCAGAAATGGTGAAGCTTGATGGCTTTCTTTGGGGTCTCTGATCATCAGAAGAGCAAATATGGAACAGAAAGTTCTTGACATCTCATACTTTGTTGCCTCATCCCAACATGCCCTTGGCCTTGCCAATATCAGAAATTTTAGATGCAAAGGACCATGCAAATTCATCATGGAAATTTGGAATAGGGTTTGGGTCAAATCTAAGTCCATATTTTTCCAAATCCTTTTTGATAATCTTTAAATAAAAGCAAATTGCAAAACTTTTTTGAAAGTTTTACATCCCGTTTCTCCCTAGCATAACTTGATCTGCAAAATTCCTGTTCCATTTTGCTAAGTTCTAGTGTGCTCTCGAGTAATGAAAGATCCACCTACGGATGTTATTTTTGGAATAACTCCATGCTCAGTCCTCAGTCACCCACTGGCAGTCATTAGTGCTGATGTTAATGATCAGGCTGCAATTATTCATTAATCATGTTAATATTTATTTTGCACAAAAGCCTGAAGGCCTCACATGACGCGCTGAGCATTTCTAGGACTTCAAATTAAACTATGTCTTTTAAAAAAATTGTCTGTCTCTGGTCAGATGGAATTCACGGAACCTGTGACTGTTGTGATAAAATATTTCGTTTCTGAGATCACCCAGAGGAAGGGAACTGCTCCTGCTGCTGTGGGTCTGTGCATCTGTGGGAGCAGAGCACCAGAGGACCCTTGGCCATCCTCCCCTACAGCGTACAGCTCCACTGGCCATATCCTGATTTCTGCTGCGGTGAAGGTGAGAAGGTTCATGCGAAACACAACACAACCCAGGTCACAGATGCTGAGGACAGGATGGGTCATTGTGATCCTTCAGCTTGACTTCTGGGGGCACAAAGCATCCATTTCCACCCAGTTTCTCCTGGGTAGCTACTGCTTTTGTTTGGCTACATCCCAGCTTTTTACGAAGCCACCCAGTCTTGCTCTGAAGAATTCAAAGGACCACGAAGTCACGACTTCTCCAGGCAAGCTCTTTCCAATGGGCTTTGTTTCCTATTGAGCTTGGCTTCATGCTAATGACCTCGTCAGACTAGGTCACTGCCACATGTTATGATGTAATTAGTGACACAGATTTACACCAGCTGGGTACTGGCACCTCAGCTGACAACAAAGGAGGCTCATGGCAGCCCAGGAGTTGCTCAGGAGGAGCAGGAAGAGGAGATAAAACATGCTGCGATTAGTCACTGAAGAGAAAGTTAGAGGCCTGGGGCAGGAATAGAAAGTGAATGTTTATACTTGAAGACAAAACCACTCCTGTAGATAGAAAACCCTATTGACTCGATACCCAGCTGCCGAGAGGTGAAAAGTGAATGAGAAAAAGAGTTTTTGGTGTAGCTGCCAAGGGTTGTGTGAAGATGAGCCATCTTGTAGCAATGGAAACAACTTGGATGTAGGTGAGTAATTAATTGCTCTCTGCATCCCATTTGCAACTTTTCCTTTTTTAGCGGGCTGTTCCTCTACAATGGCAATTTTCTCTGTAATGTATAAATAACTTATTCCAATTATTTATATACCAACTGGTTATTTACTAAGTACTGGCAATGCCCAGCTCATCCAGCCCATTTCCCATGCCTGCCCTGGGATGGATGAATCACGCTGGGGAAAACTCTCATTTTACACCGTAGAAATTACTTAATTGCAGGTGTTCCAAGGCAGGTTCCAAACCCTTGCAGTTTTTGCTTTGTTTTGTTTCCAAATATAGCAGCGGGTTTTAAAGATTGCATCTGCAGTAAAAACATGAATGTACAGGCCAGGCTCCTGGCCGTAACTCTGAAAATCCCATTGCATCCGCTGAGCTCAGTCCTCTGCATGTGGTGCCACGCTCCTGGCACCGCTGGTGAGTGCTGCAGGCATTTCCTCAACTTTCATATTCTCTTGGCTTTCCTCCTACTTTGACTATTTTCACAATCAATTAAAGCATGGCTTTAAAACCATGAGAAAAAACAGATTCTACCAGACAAGCAGATACGATGGAGTGGTGGCTAAAAATATCCAGAGCTGTTAAATAGGCTTGAAATATGATTTTTATTGTCTTGCTGTAGGCTGAAGCAGCAAAGCAAGAAAAAAAAAACAAAAAACCTCTTCCCAGCGGACAGAGTGCTTTACTTTGGCAGAAGGAAGATAAACAGCTCAAAGCAAATTAAACCGAGAGACTTCATCCTAATACCACGCGACCCTCCGACCATTTCAAAAGCATTTGCTTACAGAGAAGCGTCACAGCTGGCAAGCGATGAGCAAGGAGACAAGTTTGAGGCTTCGGGTGAGGAGTGAGATGGTGGGTCCAGGTGTCGGGGTTGGATCCTGCTGCTAGTACTTGGGGTATGATGGCGGCAGCTTGCAGATGGTCTTG